GTGGCCCTGTGATGACCTGCGAGTCTCCCCATCCTTTGCAATTGATGCGTCAGTGTGCCCGGTAAGTCGAACTAGCTGTCGTTCACCAAGCACAATTCCTATGCCTAATGTGATCGCCTGGTAGCGCGCTACCCTCTTAGCGGGCGCCTAGTGAACAAGACAGTGTATCCCTATTGCAACATAGCGAGCTAGGATGCTGAGAGGGAAGGAAAGGTCTGAGCGAGTACAACTCATGAGACACCCTACGAGCTCTGCGTACGGACCACTAGACTCGGCCGCCTCGTCAAGAACAGGAACCATGAGCTTGTGTTCAACAGAGAGAGGAATGGCCTGTGCGGAGGGGAAATTAAGGCAGAACCACTGAATGACGTGCTGTACCATGTGTGACTGAGTCAGAGTGATGGTGCCCGCTGCTCTGTCCCTGGTGTTCTACTAGTCGAGATAAACGCAACTCACTAAGGTTAGTGCATTGTGTCTCTTCAGCAGCACCTGCACCCCCAGAATCAACACCTTGAGAACCCGTACCGCCAGAGTCAGCACCCCCAACACCAGTAGCTCTAGTTGTAGCACCCCCGGAACCAAGACCACCAGCGTCAACACCCCCGGTGTCCACTGTGGCCTACTACCACAGCATCGACGGATGCCGCGGCGACTGGGAGGACAACGAAGAGGACTGCGGTGAAGGAGCTGATGCAGGAGGTGCAACTGAGGGAAGGGGGGTAACGTGCAACACACAATACGGTGCAAGAGAGGGAGAAGTGGGACCACCAAAGGAGTGGGAGGGGGGGCACCAGGATACCTCGGTGAGGGTAGCATGCGTAGAAGGGCACTAACTCGTCATAAGTGACATTACGCGAGTGAAAGAACAGGTGGGCAGAGGGGTGGTAGAAGAGACAGTCCGGGGCGTCAACTATGAAGTCAAAGGAAGACACAAGGAAAGGTGCATGCTGACAGCTTCTTCGCGCTGGGATCATGGACATGTGCAAGGCAACCCCGGACGTGAAGTGTAGACGCGAAACTAGGTGACCTAGTCCAAAGATTGGTCGGTGGATCCAGTGGGCACGAGACACAAGGCCGCAGGTTCAACTGATGTGCGGTGGCGGACCGCAAACGGCCATTGAAAATGGGGCGTATGGGCATGAATCACGGAGGTGCGGGAAATCTCTATAAACAAGCCTCTGCGATGTTCAGTTACCCCTTTATGCTATGGCGATTCTGGGGGCGTGAAGGGCTGAGTGATGCCCTGCTATTTCCAAAACCGGGCAAGACAACAGGAGGTGAACTCACCACCACACGCACACTGCGGACAAAGAACAGGGAGGTCGAGCTGGGCTCGAGTGGCCATTCCGCACGGGATCAGAGCGTCAGACACATCGGCTTTTAGCTGCAAGGGAAACACCGTGGTGTAGCATGAGAAGTCGTCTACAACCACAAGGAAGCAGCGCCTTTGTCGGGGCCCAGCAATCGGGGCTGGGACCGAGACGTCCAAGTGCAAAGTCTGTAGAGATGCAGTGGCGGGCGGAAGAGAGGAGGAATGAGAGGCAGTGTGCTACCGACCCTCGACACAAGGTGTGCACAGAGGAGTAGACAAAGGAGGGAGGGGGGGAGCGACGGGACCTAGCCATGTGACGGAGACGTGGGAGGGAAGGGACGGTGGTGCCATAGAAGAGACGGGTGCGTAAGGGACCGACAAGTACATGGCACAGCAAACTGACCTGACGCAGACACCTGGGAGGAAGCAGTGTGCAAGATGTAGAGACCTAACGTGGGCTCTCGGGAAGACGTGGCAAGCTGTGCCTCGGTAGTAGAGTCCGTGCAGGTCGCAAACCTCTCGTGTCCAGGAAACGTGGTGCTGACACTAAGGTCCTAAAAGTGTCCTACACCCACCAAGTTCCTCGAGAACAAGGGGGCGTGGAGACCTGTGAGAGAACCTGAGGGGACCGCACTGCCTAGAAGCACCAGCACCCCCACCGCCTCCACCTCGTCCACCTCCGCCACCCTTCCCACCCTTCCCACCCTTCTTACCCTTCTTACCCTTCTTACCATGCTGCCCACCAGATGCAACAATGGCAGCAATCTCCCAAGTAGTCGGTGACTCAACAGCAGCAAGAGAGGCAGTACAAGGGGGGAATCGGGGTAGAGCGCACCCCTTGAAGAGACGGGGGACGAATGCAGCAGTAGTGGAGGCGACGGAGTGAAGGTGCTCCTCGATCTTCTTGAGACTAGTCTCAATAAGCCCGATAGTAAGCTCAGCGGGGTGCCTAGCGAAGAGAGCGTCACATACAGACGGTGAGGTGGATAGGCGAGGGGTGGCTAGCAAGCTGGGTGTCTGAGCACGCAGCATGATAGCTAGTGTGAGGGATGATAATCATGTCTGGCTCGGACTGGATCATCAGGCTCGACACCATTTTTTGGGCTACCCGTTAAAAAAAAACTAATTCGAAATCGCCGAGACGGTTTTGAGGATGATTTCGAGGACGGTTGCATATCCCTATTTTACTATTTTCAGAAGACGCAGCACGCATCACATAGGCCGATTGATCATCCAATGTCGATCCGTCACCGCGCTGAAATCACGCTTCATGCATCCACAACTCTCAAAACATTTTTGAATCCCACCGAAAATGGAGCCTGAGGATGATCGTGACCAATGTGGCTCAGGGGCGATCAATGCTCACATGTTCGGTGTGCGTCCCCGATCACACCCCAATGTGTGAAATGTACGGTAACACGTCCTCCTAAGGCCATCCGTTCGGGGGCAGTTTCCTCAAGGATGTTGTCGCACTTCACTGAATCGCTCTACTCGTACACCTATCGACCTTTCCAACAGGAGGCGAAAGGGATACATTATTTGAGGCGCGAACTTAGCAGTGCTATCTATGTGGCGTTGCGAGTTTGTGACTGTATTGTCGGGTGGTGATTTGAAAGGGTCACTTTGGACGGGAAGCCAAAGTCAGATGAAGGTTGAGCTGTTCAGTTGAGGACTTTGTGGGAGAAGCCACATGGCTGGACATCCCTACGATTGGATGGACGCTACTGGTGATACGGACTCAGCGGTTATTATGGGAAGATTCCACCATCATCATAGGAACACAGTTCTATAGGTACACACTAAGGAGAAGCTTTAAAGTTCTTTAATTCAATAACATCAGAATACAGAATCATTTATTCGTTCATCTATAGTATCAACCCCAGGGCCTCAGATTCGTTTTGGCGTAGGCTGACTGGTCAACCTTAGGAGTGTGTTCATGGCTGATCTGTGAGTGTTGTTGTTTAAAAAAAAACTGACTTTTCAGGGTGTATATTAAAAAAAAAACTGAACGATCAGCGTCACTATTTGGTGAAGACTGAACCATTTCAAACAAGTTCTGCATTGATATAACAAACGTTTACAGGAAATCTAATTAAACATATCCTCATCCTCTTCATCATCATCACCCTCTTCACTATCACTAGAGCCTAAAGAGAGCGCCGCGGCCAGCGACGACCGCCGCCATGCTAGCTTCACGGGCAGACCGCGGCCCGTGAGGCACCATGGCGACGGGGGAAAGAGACAATCGGCGAGGCGAGGGGAAGGCGAGGCTGCGCGACGAGGGGAATGCGGGACGACTGGAGGCTGCAGGGAACGACGCGGAAGTTTGGCTCTGCGAGGGGAAAGGAAAGGGAGCAGAAAAGAAATATCTCTATCCTAAATCGTACTTACCTATTGGGCATACTGGTGTGTTGCTGCCGCACTGATGGGCTGCAGAGGAGAGCTGCAGAGGGATGCGGGTGGAGAAAATACGGAGAGGAATACGGGAAGCACGAGGGAGTGAAAGCGGAATCGCGGTTCCCTCTATCCCTCGCAACTCCCTCTCCCACGCAGCTAACTATCTCCCTCGCAGCTCACTCTCTCCGTCTCAGCCTGATCAAACGGAAACGAGGGAACCAAATGCGGGGGGCGATGAGGAGTAACGAGAAACAAATGTCTGTAGATTCGTACCTACTAAGATGGCGTTGCTGCTGAGCTGAGCTCACGGGCTGAAAAGGAGTGGGTATTCCCGTCAAGGAATATGCACGAACGAGAAGTGCAGCTCACGGGCTCACGGATCATCGTACAGCGACGACCAGCTGCGACGCCAGCTTCGCTGGCGAACGCGGCCCGCACGGCGCCATGGCGACGGGGGGAAAGGGAAGCGTGGCGCAGCGAGGGGAAGGTGAGGCTGCGCGATGAGGGAATGACGCTAGGCGAGAAATACACCTGTAGAGTAGAAGAAGAACCACTTCTACTCTACAGGTGTCCAGTACAAGTGCCTTGCATCTCCAAGTGGAGGGACGAGAGGGAGGGGCTGCTGCGAGCGATGCAGGCGCCGAGAGTGGGGAGATGCTCAGAGCGAGAAAAGCGAAGGTGAAGGGAGTGAATATCCAGGTGGGTGAGAAAGAAGCGGACGGTCTGCGACCAGTGGGGGTTTCATCTACAGTTGGTACAGGAAAGAAGAATCTCTACCGTATCCTTGAGCCAAGATACCTTCGCGAGAAGACAGCAGTGGAGTGAAAGTTCGAGAATGACCATTCCCGAATGCGTTGGCAAGGAATCTTGCCATTTCGGCGTGATTGACGGAGGGACGGTCGAACCGGTGTACCTAGACATCCGGAATTCAGGGCACCTACGCTAATCTCCACTACAGGGATTCCAGCCAACCCCTTCGTTACAACTCTGATGAGACAGCGTACACGACAGGAAAAAAGCTGATATTTCAGCACATACAGATTTAAAAACCCTGAAATTTGAGCAAACACACTTAAAAAAAAGCTGCCACAACAGCCCCACTATTCTCCCACCACTGAAATCACAGCCTTTTTACCCCTAATCAGCCTTTTTTCGCTGACTTCTGAGGGCCTGATCAACCCCTACCTATTCCTTCTTTATTTCCCACCCCTTCCAACAAACCTCATTCTTTTCAAGAGACAACTTCTCATAAGTTACTCCGATCATGCCCTACTGGTAATTCTGCATGCCTCTACTGCCCATTGTCGCCATTCGTCTTGGTGCACTTCTGCTTATCACCAGACAGCTTCCACCCACCAGCACAAAGGCATCCAGGATCGATAGTACTTCCGCTGGTCTCCACAACCTTATCTGACGGGTAGCAGATGCCAATGCGAACGCCACCACACTGCACGTTCCCAGAAGTGCCGCAGAACTTGTTGCACACAGCAGCAGTCCTTTGCGATGGCTTGGTGCCGCAGCTGTACGAGGAAGGAATGGTGAGGCAGTTCTTGGCCAGAGATGCCGCGCAGATGGTGTCACCGTTCTTGTCTTTGGGCAGGGAAGAACCAAAGAAGTAGTTGTCATCGAGGTTGAGCGTGGTAGGGGCCTTGTAGAAGCTGGGAGGAGGCCCAGTGAAGTAGTTGGCACTCAGGTCCCTGTGGTGTGTAGGTGGGAACAGGAGAAGAGGCAATGCAGAAGAAATATGCATCAGAGGTGGGTCATCTGACAGGGCGTTTGGAACGGAATTAGCGAGGGAGACAGTATTGATGGGTTGGGTGGTGAAGGCGTAAGATGGACAAGATAACTCAAGGAGGGAAAGCAGAAAGGGAAAGGGTAGAGTGAATTATTAAAGAGTGAAGAGGCGTACGTACACTTCAGTGAGCTTCTTGAGGGATGAGAACGAGGGCACGTAGCCATCAAAGAAGTTGTCCTGCAGAAGGCTGTTTGGTCAGAAAACGAGCACGTGGGAATGAGGGGGGCAGAAGATATGTGTGTGCATGGGCGGGTGTGCGTGTGGGTGCGTGTGAGCATGGGTGTGTGCACGAGAGTGAAAGAAGAGAGGGGGATGAGAAATGAAGAGTGAGAGGGAGGCAGAAAAAGGGGAGGGGAGCAGAGGAAGTAGGGAGGATGCAGGTGAGGGAAAGTGAGTTTCGAAAAACAGTGACGATAACGATGCTAGTGGGGAGGGGAAAGGGATGGAGCGGACAGAATTACAGGCATGAAAAGAGAAAAGAAAGATGAAAATCGGTATCAGCAGCAGACGGGGGAGGGAGTTGGAAGGCAGTAAGGAGAAGTATGGGTAGCAGGGAGGGAGGGAAGCGCACAGGTTGCTGAGCTTGGTGAGCGAGGTGATGGTGCGGGGAATAATGCCCTTGAACTGGTTGTTGTATAGCGAGCTGTCACAGAGAGAGAGAGAGAGAGAGAGAGAGAGAGAGAGAGAGAGAGAGAGAGAGAGAGAGAGAGAGAGAGAGAGAGAGAGAGAGGCGTGATATGGGCAACAAGGGGTGATTTAGACACACGGAGATGTTGCACACACACACACACCGAGACACAGGAGAGGAGGTGGAGGACGGGATGGGGTGACAGGCAGGGAGGAAAGGGAAGAAAATAACAGGGTGATAGGTGAGTGTGCAGCAACATGGTCATGGAAGGGGGATTGGGTGCAGAGGAGGGGGAGGGTTAGGCGTACAGGTAAGTGAGCTTTTTGAGAGTGCTGATGACGTTGGGGACACGCCCTCCGAATGCGTTGTAGCGCATGCTCCTGAACAGCAGTACACGTGGTCAGCAAGGACACGTGGGCAGTTAGGAGACATGGGCAGTTAGGAGACGTGGGCAGTTAGGAGACGTGGGCAGTTAGGAGACGTGGGCAGTTAGGAGACGTGGGCAGTTAGGACACGTGGGCAGTTAGGACACGTGGGCAGTTAGGACACGTGGGCAGTTAGGACACGTGGGCAGTTAGGACATGTGAAAGAAGCGGCACACAGAGACACAAGACGCCTGGAGCGGTGGAGAACGGAAAGGGAAGGCAGCAGGTGAAGAGATGGTGACACACACAGTGGGATAGCTGACGGTGAGAAAAAAAGAGCTCACAGGTAGTTGAGGCTCACAGGTAGTTGAGGCTCTTGAGATTGGAGAAGCCCTGAGGGAAGGAGTCGTTGAAGTTGTTGTCGCCCAGCAGCCTGCCAGCACCGCGGCACGGGTTGACAGGATCAGTCAGGGGGGCGTGCATGCCGGGGATCAGTGGAGTGGCGTTGATATCACAACAAGTGAGCCAATAATGAAAAAGGTGCGGATTCGGATGGGTACAGAGAACAAAAATAATGGACCAAATGGTTTTCAATAATGGAAGCAACAGCAGCAGGGGCAGTAGCACACACAGGCGGTTGAGTTTGGTGAGGGAGCTGAGCACGCTCACAGGCCCGCTCAAGCCGTTGCGATGCAGGTAGCTGCAATGATGCGGGGGAGGTTGGGAGGGAAAGGGTGGAAACGAGGGCAGGGGACGGTTGGGCAGTGTTGAGGTTGAGGGAGGAGTGAGCAGACAAGGAAAATTATCAGTTTCTTCTTCAAAACCTCCTATACCATTTCCCTCCTCCTCTTCTTCCCCCTCCCTCTTCCCTTTCCCTTTCCCATTCCCCTCTCAAGTTCCTCCTCTTCATGCTACCCATCTTATCCCACTCTTACCCAACCACTGATCCTCCAATCCCCCACCTTCTCCACACTCTCAGCACGCCCTTTCCCCACTACTCCCCCCGGACCCAGAGTGCTCACAGCTCGTTGAGGCGGGTGAGCTTCCCCAGGCCGGAGGGCAGAGTCCCCTTGAGCCCGTCCTCTCCCGATGCTGACAGCCCACTGCACACAGGAGTTGAGGGGTGAGGGACAGGAGCAGGCGGAGAGAGCAGGAGGAGAGAGCAGACGGGATAGAGGTGAATAATAAGCATGAGGCAAGTGCTCACGGAATGCTGGTTCAAGCCTCCCACAGCGAAAGCGCATGAGAGAGAGGGAGAGAGAGTGAGTCACGGGAGGGTGAGGGAGGGAGTGAGCGACTCACAGGTACACGAGCTTCTTGAGAGTGCTGATGTAGTTGGGGATGGATCCGGTGAGGAAGTTGGAGCTCATGTCGCTGGTGTGGTGTGGTGTGGTGTGTGGCACGGGGAGGAGGGTGAAGGGCGGCACGGTGGGTGAGCAGGGGGCGAGTACAGTGAAAGCGGAAGGGGAAGGGAGAAGGGGGAAGGGGGAAGTGGGAAGGGATGAAGGGTTAAGGGTGAGGGGTGAGGTTTGTAGGGTGAAGGGTGAAAGGGAAAGGGAGGAGGCAAGAGAGGGAAGCAACGGACACAAAATAAAGTCCGTAACACAAAGCAGCGTGCAGGAAGAGGGGCGGCAGGGACTCCGAATAAAAGGCAGGCAGTGAGGCGGACTGGAAAGGGGCGATGAAGAAAGGGAGTGGTGGGACAGTGGACGTAGCAGGCTGCAGCACTAGGTGACGGACAGGAGGAACGACAAGCGGCCAGGTAACACTCAGGGCAAGGAGAGAGGCTGGACTGTAGATGGCTGGGAAGAGCAGATGAGCAGATGAGCATGGGAAGCATGGGAAGCATGGGCGTACAGGTGGGTGAGGTCTGTGAGCTTGGAGACGAAGGTGGAGATAAAGCCTTCGTAGCCAGTGTCGGCGATGTCCCTAACGCGGATGAGCAATGGGAGAGAGTGGGCGGGTGACAGGGTAGGGAGTAGGAGGTTTATTATGGTTTGATTGGTGGCAAGCCCTGACTGCAGGGAAGGAATTATGTGGCGCAGGCGACGGCAGGAGAGGGAGAATAAATAAACCAAGCAGAGAAAACAACCAAAGAAACAAACAAAGAGAGAGAAAACACACACACACACACACACACACACACACACGTGCGCGCGCGCGCGCACACACACACACACACACACACACACACACACGTGCGCGCGCGCACACACACACACTTGCACACGCACAAAAATAAAAACTCGCGAGACTGGAGACCAAGGGACTGAGGAGCATGGTGGGTTATTGAGGGGCGATGGGTGGGCGAAGGGAGGGTGGGAGAGATGAGACGGTGACTGACAGGTGTTTGAGCTGCTTGAGGTTGGTGAGTGACGAGAACCCCGTGTTCAGGTTGCTGTTGCCCGACACGTCTCTGCTCAGGGTGTTGGGGAGAGGTGGAAAGGGCGGGGGGCACATGGAAGGTGGGTTGATGCGATGAGTGGACAGCGGCGGGCGGATGCTTTGTCTGGGAAAAGAACGAGCAAGAACCAGACCGGAGCCTTTGGCAAGGAGGGGCGAGAGTGTGGGAGGGCGAGAGTGTGGGAGGGCGAGAGTGTGGGAGGCGCGAGAGTGTGGGAGGCGCGAGGGTGTGGGAGGCGCGAGGGTGTGGGAGGCGCGAGGGTGTGGGAGGCGCGAGAGTGCTTAACGAGGGGAAGAGGAGGCGATGGATGGCAGAGGGCGCAGGTAGCGTGGTAACTGCAGCAGTGCAGAGAGCAGCGAAGAGCAGAGTCCTCCTCACATGTAAGAGAGAGCAGTAATTTTGGAGAGCGAGGCGGCGGAACCGGTGATGTCGTTGCCAGAGAGGTCACTGCATAGGCACATGGGCAGATGACACACGGCGAGCCATGAGAGGCGGATCAACCGACACGCAACCAGCGGTCAAGGAATCAATGCACGACGACGACCATGTCAGAAAGAAGGAAGGCGCAGATGCAAAGGGAAAGGTGGTGTCGCACGTCGCGCATCACGCACGTCGCACATCACACGTCGCACATCACGCGTCGCACGTCGCACGTACAGGTACTTGAGGCTCTGCAGCTTCGTCAGCACGCCAATGGCTCCCGACGCGCCCGCGTCCGCAATCGTCCTGCCGGCACGGCGGGAGACACACAGAATGCGAGATTCGGCCAGGAAGGGCGAGGCGTCAGCTGGGATGGATTATTAAGCGCTTAAAGAAAATGATGGCTGAAAAAGGCCGGCGGAGTACTTCTCACGCGACGCGCGGCCCCGCGTCGGCGTGCCGGCGCGATTCCGCTCACATGTTGATGACATGGCCGTTGTCGGCGCACTTGATGCCCACGTAGTGGTCGCACTTCTTGTCAGATTCCTTCCACGTGTCAGATCCCGTGAAGTCGCCCCACGCGCCCACCAAATCCTCCAGAACCATCTCTGCGCGGGGACGGTGCGGAGCGCGCGGGGGAAGAAGAGGGGACAGAAGGAGAGGGGGAACGGGAAAATAAGGGGGGATGAAGAAGAGGGGTGGGAAATCTTGCTCCAAGGCAAAGATGGGGAAGATGTGGAGAGGGCGTGCGCGCGAGGGGGAGATAGTCTTCACGCGGAGTGCATGAGCACGGTGCGAAGGGTGCTGCCAACAATGGAAGTCGCGTTTATTTGAAAACAAGAAAGCGATAGATAAAACAAGACGAAGAAAAACAACGAACGGAAAATCATATCAAACAAAAGAAAGGCGTAAAAAAGGCATATAATTGTGGTGATGGAGATATTCCGCGTAGCAGCTGCGCGGCGTGACAGAAGGAGATGTTGATCTTGGTGATGCATTTGGCTTGACGCCGCGGTTCCTAGGGGTGCGGTGATTATTACGGTCGTCGCTGTTGATCTTGGTGGAGAGCGGAAGGCGCAGAGAGTCCACATGGAGGCAGAGGGTGCTAATGAGGCACGCCGCGAAGATGGCAGCTAGCAGATGACGGCTCGCATGCGAAAACGACGCCATTTTTTAGAGCTTGTGGATGATAACTTTTTTTGCCTAGGGTAGCTGTGCCGTGAGGTTATGAAAATCGCCCCACTGTGAGACGAAGTGGGGGACAAGTGAAACGAAGTGAGGACAAGTGGTGGTGGTTCAAGATAGCCCGTACGATACATGCGAACAGGAGAGGAGACACGACGCTACACGAGATGTGTATGACTTGACGAAAGCCTTCGTTTTGTACCCTTGATTCTCTCCGAGCCGCCTTGTCAGCCTTGGCACGCCAAGTCGTGTGATTAGGCGGCGCCGGGACGCCGCTTTTACCTCTATCCGAGCCTTGATGTCGAACCAGGTAGGGCATCTTTCCCAAGCTGCCGGCGCCCGAGGGTGATGATGACTTGAAAGAGGCGAGCTTGCCGAACCTACCATGTCACATGGTGTACTGGCGGCTTCTTCCAGAAACTTGTGAAGCTGACTGGATATGCGACACCAGCCGCTCATGGGCTGATGTGGGAGAGGTAGAACAGAAATGTTTTGGTTGCTCTGGCGGAAATTCAGCACAGGTCCGTCATTTCCCCAAACATTCCAAAGAGTTGTTCTGGTTGTTCCGAAGGGTTCCGTCATAATTCACGCTCGATACTGACTGTTAGCAGCTTCCAGCATCAGATTCATCAGCATCAAGCACGTCCCAACCACCTAAAACAAAACGTTTCCGTTCGACTTTCTGAAATAAAGCATTCTTGAACTATTCCAACCAAGCAGAGCCTCCACCACAAGCATGCTTCCTTGGCCCGTTTCACATCCCTTCAGGGCCCGGGGGCGGGTGCATGGGTTTCGGCGGTTCCGGCTCACTCAGATCTCACATTCACTGTGGCTGAGTGGGGCATCGCTGCTGCTATACGGCTTGGCCTCCCAATTCAGCAGCTGCAGGTGGCGGGGAGGTGTGTTTGTGGCACAGCGTATGTTGACCCAGCAGACCCGCACCATGCCCTGAGATGCAAGCACCAGCATGGTCCATCTCGGGTGCATGATGAGGTGAAGTTTGCGGTGGCGAAGATCTCAAAGGCGTCGGGGGGGATGGTGACAATGGAGGATAGTGTGGTGCTGCAGGGGAAGCGGGTTGATGTGGCGGTGCGACGACCAATGGCTGGAGAGGCTCACGCCCTAGAGATCAGCGTCGCGAACCCGCTATCGCTGTCTCCATCACTGCTGGGACAGTGCGGGCGTCAAATAGGTGTGGCGGCAAGGGAGTGGGAGCGTCGCAAAACGAGTGATTACACGCCTCTGCTTGCACGCAACCGGGGCGTGCAGTTCACCCCTTTGATAGTTGAGACGTGGGGGTGTCTCGGCGGTCGTTTTCAGCGGTGGCTTCGTCAGCAGGGGGATGCGCACGTGGGGCTAGCTGTGTCGCGGGGGGCTTGTCGAGAGGACGACTCTGTGTTTTCGGCTTATCTTTTAGGGTCACTGAAGGCGCTCATCGGGGTGGCGTTACAACGTGCGCAAGCCGGTGTCATCCTGATTCGAGCGGCGTCTTCCGTGGGGGGGATTAACGTAGATTTGGTGGACCGGGAGAGGGACGATGTCGATGTGGAAGGCGGGGCTCTCTGGGTAGAGGCCCCGTACATGGTCGATACGCTGTTGTGATTGAAGGGGGGGGGGGGGGGGGGGGGGGGGGGTGGGGTGTGGGATGGGATGTCTTGATGGGGTGTCTTGACTCGGCGTTTTGATTGGGTATCTTGAGGGGGGGTTCTATGTGTGTTGCATTTGGGTTCTTTTACTCATGTGCTTCTTCGTGAGTGGGGCAACACATAGGGAAAAATGGATGTCTGTGGTTGGGGTGGGGATGGGGAAAGAGAGATGCGGATTGCGATCGAGGGAAGTTTTTGGGTTGCGTAGCAACTGGAACCTTTCGGGAGCGTTGCGCAGATCCACCGCCTTCTTTGTGACGAAGGGCCAAAGGCCACAACAAGGAATCGAGTGTACAGTTGCTCTCATGCTTGTGGCAGCGAACCACATTCTGAAGTGTGTGTTCCTGTGGTGTGGGGAGGACGAACAGGTTGGATATTTCCTAGGTGTGCTGTTTTACAGAAAGCTCGTTACATCATCTCCATGTCTCTTACAAAATGTGATCTTAAATGCAAACACAAGTTATACTGGTTGACCATCCGGGATAGATTAGTATGGTATGATTCTAGCATTTCCTTGTATAGATCACGGCCCACAATAGAGGGGTTGAGTGGGATGATAACGGCCACGTCCCGCGTCAGTGTGATACAGTTTTGCAGACATAAAGAATGCCCTTGATCGGGATCATTCGTATAATAGCTCCAGCAGAAATGCCATCGTAATGGTACAACAACATGGTACACAAAAATAAAGATTTGCACTATGATCCAGCTGGTACAGGGCTCTAGAGGAGCTCAAGAGCAGTCGAACCACGTGCATCAAGGTTATGCACACAAAAGAACCAGCCAGCCAACCACACTCTGCCTACCCATTGTCATAATACTAAACGAGAATGGTTGGATTGAACAGAAAGTTGGGTACAAGTACTAACCCTAATTGGGTTGTACCCCTTTGTCAAATGTTGTAGTCTTAGTGGTGTATGTTATAGGGGGTACAATAGTTAGGGTTAGGTTCATGTACCCCAACCAACCTTAGTGAAACCATCACTTTCATTCTTAACATGGAATCATCCAGGTTAGGATCCTGTAGGATCCCGTTCCTCTCGTTCACGTCTGTAGCGCCCGAGCCTGTCCCGTACCCTAGTGCCCGTTACACCCGTACTATCCCCTGGCGCCTCTCGCGCTCGTCTCTCTCGTACCCTAGCGCCCGCTGCGCCTGCCGTCGCGTCGCCCCTGCTGTCCCGTCCCGTCCCGTCGCCCCTGCCGTCGCGTCGCCCCTACTGTCCCGTCCCGTCCCGTCGCCCCTACCGTTGCGTCGCCCCTGCTGTCCCGTCCCGTCCCGTCGCCCCTGCTGTCCCGTCCCGTCGCCCTGCCGTCGCGTCCCCCCTGCTGTCCCGTCCCGTCCCGTCGCCCCTGCTGCCCCGTCGCGTCGCCCCCTGCTGTCCCGTCCCGTCCCGTCGTCCCTGCTGTCCCGTCCCGTCCCGTCGTCCCTGCTGTCCCGTTGCGTTGCCCCCCTTCTGTCCCGTCGCGTCGCGCCGTCCGTCCCATCCCGTCCGCGTCGCGCTTTCCATCCCGTCCCGTCGCACGCGCCCCATGCGCCCTGCCCGTCCGTCGCGCCCCCGCTGCGCCCTGCCCGTCCGTCGCGCCCCGTGCGCCCTGCCCGTCCGCGCCTGTCACGCTTGTCCTTGCCAGTCGCGTCCGTCCCGTCGCGTCGCACTGTCTGTCACGCCCTACGCAGACCCTTTAGGCGTTTAGGGTTTCGGAAGCAGCAGTATCCACCTCTATGCTGCCGCTATGGCGACCCCTAGGGTCCTGCGTTTTGACGCTGAGGGTAGGCCGCTCGAGTTCTCGGTCTGGCTCCTGCGTGCGAGCCGCCTCCTAGAGAGCCAGGTTCAGGCACACGAGACTCTGTGGGCGCACGCTTCTGGTGACCTACCTGAGCCCGCTGACCCTGCACCCTTAGCAACTGACCCCACACATGCAGACAGTGACCGTTATGCACGCGAGCGTGCTGACGTGACAGCGTGGAAGTCGCGTGACGCTGCGGCCTGCATCGCCCTCAGCAGCCTCCTCCCTGAGTCTGAGGAGACCCACTTCACTCAGGTTCGCACGGCTAGTGAGTTCCTGACTACGATCAAGACACGCTACGCAACTCCCACCACTTTCTCTCTTGGTCGCCTGTTCCTTCCGTTCCTGTTTCTTGACCTCGCCTCGTTTGAGCGCACTGCTGACTTGATCACTCATCTACGCTCGCTCGATTCTAGCTACCGCGCTGCTTGCACTGACGCACAGCTTGCACTGATCCCTCCCCCCATGGCGATTACTATCTATTTCTCGGTTCGTGACGCGCTTCTTCTGAAACACCCTAGCGAGCTCACTATCAAGGTCCTTGAGTCGGCCCTCAAGGACGTCGAGAGCAACCTCCGCTCGGTAGCCTCTGCCTCTGGCGTTGTGCCCCCTCCACTGTTCCACGGGTGCACTGTCCCTCAGCTGCCACCCTTTACTGCCTCCCTCGCCACTGCCGCTACTGACGTGACCACAGCTGCTGTTACAACTTCTTCACGGTCTCGGGGTAGGAGTGGCAGGAGGGGTCGTTAGGGTGTGGGTGGAGGCGGCGGAGGCGGTGGGGGTGACGTGGCGGGCGGCGGCGACGGGAGTGCAGGCGCTGGAGGAGCGCCTCGTGCAGCGGCCGGTGACTCCCCTGCTACAGCTGGTGGAGGTGATGCCCGGGTTCGTCAGCCACCTACTGCTCCGCTAGCCGCAGGGGGTGGAGCAGCGGCGTGGTACCTGACTCGACGACAGTAGCAGCAGCAGCAGCCCCTCCCCTTGCAGCAGCCACAGCAGGAGCAGCGGCAGCAGCAGGTTTCGGGGCAGGGGTCAGGACAGCGTCAGTTGCAGCGCGGTGTCGTCCACCCTCCCTGCACCTATCACGTTCTGACAGGTGCCCGCCACAGCCAGCCTTGTGGCCGCAGCCACCCACCGGGTCAGTGCTTTGCTCAGCTTACTGACACGGTTCAATTGGCCTACGGAGTTGACGGCCCTGCCCCTGATTGGCTTCCCCTTGTTCAGACGTACGGCCCGCTCTGTGGGGCATGTCGGCTTCTCAGTTGGTTGATCTCTTCGGAACTCCTCATGCTATGTATGCTGTTGTTGACTCTAGTGCTTCTGACTATGTTTACTTGAGTGTTGTTAGCTTAGGTGCTAGTCTTGCTGAGGTGCATGTTGCTAGTGTAGGTACTTGTGTAGACACTAGTCCAGGAGCTGCTCCGGAGGAGACTTCGATGTCTTTCACTCTGGACTCCGGAGCTTCCCACTATTTCTTCCGCGACCGCACGACACTTACCCCGCTTCCTACGCCGGTCTCTGTAGCACTGGCTGATCCCACTTCGGGACCAGTCACTA